AAAACAAGAGTATAACAACGTTTCATAAAACGATCCGTGAAATTCGAGACAAAGTTTTATCACTCAATGATAAAAATCGATACTCCACATACAATGAAGCTATTCGGACGTCCACGTCGCCTCCAAAAAAATTGTCGCATACAAAATATTAGAACGAAGGCTAGATTTTACAACGTATAAATAATGTCCGAATATTGATAAATATTTCCGCGCTTGACGAGCCCGGCACTGTGGCGATGGGTTGAATAAAGTTTAACGAGGTTTCCATTTTATGCGGAACGAAACAAAAGCCTCGGCGGAATAAACAACTTTCTATAAATTGATTGTCAAACACTTCTATTTGCATAAATCGTATTTATAATATGTTCGCATGATCCGCGCGCGCAATTACATTCCTGTCAGACGTGCAGACCCTCGAACAGTTTGCCGGCTGTTCGGTACATTTATATCCGGTAGCCGGAGAAACAAAAACAGAAAATATGATTTATAATCCGGCACATTATCGAGCGAGATACTTTACAGAATATCAACAAATTTTCGAAACGCGTTCAACAAGCGTGCCTGCGCTTGACAACCGCGTCATTATTAATATATTGTGCACGGCCCGGGGGAGCGTGCCGGTAGGAAATTAATAAAAACGTTTATTATTTTTTAATATCTTATGGGGCATTTTATGGACCGTTCCCTTGTTCATGTTGGTTCACGGCGGGTTCGCGTGCAGCTGTCACGCGAGCGAATTTCATACGTCAATGCGCTTTCCGGTTGTTGTTGTTGTTGTTGTTCTTGTTCCTGTTCCTGCTCTCGTTCTCGTTTTTTTTTTGTTTCCAAACTCATACGCGACCGAAGTTTCCATTAATAATGGATTTTTGCACACGTAACGAGCTTGTCGGCGCACGATCAATCGCCCCCGAATTTCAGATCGATTGGGAACATATTGATACACGTTTTTCTGCTCGAACCGTCGGCAATGAATTTTCATTTAGTTAATAGATATACAGAACGCATTTGCCGGTTCTACGATCGCGTTTCGTTCATTAAATTCGAACCACGCCGTGATAAATCGTCATTACGGTTTAATATAATGTTCGATGGACTGTGGGGATTCCATGGATTTATGGAAAAAGTGGAATACAAAACATTGAATAAACGGAAAAAATTTAACAATGCGATCATTTTTGATCCATTCAAAATGTCAAGAGTGAAAATAAATGTCTGTTTAATACTAAACCTATCGAACAGTAACATTGACTGGTGTGTATTGCCAGACAAGAGTGTAAAGATTCGATTTATTTAGATTGCGTGCAGTTTCTATCGTAGTAGTTGTTTCAATAGTATAATTTATGCAATAATTTTCCATGAAAATGTCTTAATTGTTTTTATGATTATAAAATGAGAAATCGATCATTCGATGGTAGTATGTTTAGTGTTAATTCCGGTTTGTTGCGGTCATAGAGAATTTTTATTTTGCACAAACATCCGCAATCTAGTTACTATACACA